GCCGAACTCGTCCAGCCACCTGTGAAGGATTGGGTAGTGGGGTGACGAGACGTGTTAAGAATATAATATGCAAATTGCAAATTGAGGGCCCTGCTGCTTTCTAATTTCCCGCCAGGCGCAGTGCGTGGGAGGCGGGCGCACAGCAACGCACGCACGGTCGACCGCCCCGAACGATTGACGCGCACCTGCGGATCGCCACCACTGAGCCGTCCGCCGGTGCTGGCATGTAGTAACCTCGCTGCCAGTCGCTGCCGCCCTGCTCGTGCAGCAGCCGCTCCTGCATGCATGGCGAGTGTGTCAAAGGAGCTAAGCCGTGGAGGCAGGGGGGAACTGCGGATAGTGTGTCGTGTGTGCATGTAGGCAAGGGTAATGCATGCACGCATAGATGAAGGGCGCACACATGCCGATAGGCACGTAAGTAGTCTAGGCTGTGCACGTAAAGACGCATGCTGGCATGCATGACCGTTTGCAATGCGTGCATGCAGAATAGTAGCCCCAAATTCAACCCTACCGCCAAGGTCATCAAGGCTAACGCCGCTCGAACGAGTCCTACAAATCTGCCACCAACACGCACGCTACCTGAACGTGAAGCATGTAGGTATCGCCGTCTAGGATGACATGCCTGCGTGTGGCGTGGTCTGCATGCGCACATACAATTAAGCCCAAGGCAGGTGCGAACAAGGAGTTGAGAAAGGGCGACGACGCAAGGTAAACATTGGTAGGGCATCTAAGCATCCCCGCCCCCTTGCTACTAACACGGGAACGCAGTCATTACACTGCTATGTGTACACTGCTATGTGCCGGTCATGTCATGCGATCCGCACCAGCAAAAACGTAAGCATGTCATGACCCATGGGTCCGCAATCACGACAAACAAGTACGAACACCCTGAATTTCAGGCGGGGTTAGATATCAACCACGACAGCAGTAGTGGCTGAGGTTAATTTGTTCATAGACTGAAGCGCATGCTTTGGCTACTTACCGAACCACTTGAGGATAGATGTGAATCGAATTGCCGCAGCTAGAATCCATGGCAGCGATTTAAGTCGACTGGTCCTCTGCATGCGGCGGCCGGGCAGGCATAGCACGGCACGTCGCATGTTACTGCAAAGCCGGTTAAGTTCGTTAAAATCGGTGCAATGCCACTGCTGTACGGGTACGCGTTCAGGCCGCAAACACAAGTGAGGTGTAGCCCCCTATTTCGGTTTACCCAACTCATGGCCGCCCATTCCCAAAGGGAAGGTCACATACACACCGTATCTTAATACAGCGTAACCATCGGCACCACCGATGAGTATTTAAGGCCACCATTCAACCCTACTCACCGCAACGCTTGCGGAGATGAAGCGGCTCCAACCCGGCTTGGTTGGCACCGCATACAAGAGCGTGCCTAGCATGAAGTCGTACCTGGATATGGCAGGTACGGCGGTGCTTGCTGGCTGGTTTGCAACCACAGCATGTGAAGAGCCCTCCAAGCATTTCCTTACGCCGTAGTAAGCAGCACCACTTTGAACAACGCAGGTACACCTCTGTGCAGACGCCATTTGACGACATGCATACAATGTGGCTCACCGTACTTCGCAGGGTGCTTTGAAGGATACTGTTCCCGTCCTTCCGACAAAGGTTCCATCGCACACAAACCCCGCAACCGATACATCTCGCGGAACGGTTGTGGTGCCCTTCTCCATACTCCGTCGGCCCTGCGCATGATGACATGTGCATGCATTGCATGACTGTCACCTACTTGCCGGACGCACCACACCGACACCGTAAGTAGCGGGCACATGTAGTCCATCCACTCATGCGCACATAGGTAGGCTGAATGTAGGTGTATGTACGAATGCATCCCCTATTCAGTCACTACTGGAGACACATGCACTCGTTCATACACCACTGAGGGCGCACACCACCCACCATAACTCCATGATGCGCGAAAGGCACGTGCGAGGGGTCCACCAAATTCTCCAGTAGCGTGTCGTACCTGCGTGCGTGGACAACCAGCAGATCAGCACTGCCGGTATCATGTTCGATGCTTACAAACGACACGTGATGCCGCCCTTGCCCTGCTTCATTCGCAACATTGCAGCCACAAACATGCACGCAGCCACCTGATCGGGAGGTCCCGGGAGTACCAGTTACCCAGCTGGACCCAAGCATCCTGGGAGCCGTCCGTCGCTTGGGGACGAACGAGGTCCGGAACCGCGTTGACCGGCAGGGGCTGCTCCGCCGCCTGCGTCCAGAGTGCATCAACGAGGGACACGTGCATGGATGCATGCATGCATGCATCGCGTCAGGCAAGGATGGAAAGGAGCATGCATGCAATTAGGGACGCATGCATGCAGAGGGACATATGCACGATTTGTATACCGTCCGTACGAGACCCCTGCAGCATGACAGCTGCAACAACACCGACCAAGCATGAAGCGTTAGCCACGTTCTCCCTTCCTGGTTCCTCATTTTCCCCACTGCCGTAACACCGCACCTTGCTCCACCCCTGCTCCGACGCGTCCGGCAGCACCCACAGCAGCCCATGCAGCTGCTGGCAGGGGAAGGCGCGCACGCAGGCTCGGCGGCTGGCGCACGCCACCCCCTGCGCCCGCTCGTCCCCTCGCAGCTGCGGGATGTGCGTGCAGGCTCCGCGCCCGTCGAACTGCCAGCCGTGGTAGGCGCACTGCAGCGAGCCGTCCGCCTCCACGCGCCCCTCCGACAGCGGGGCCAGGCGGTGCGGGCAGCGGTCCTCCACCGCGCGCCACTGCCCCTGCGCGTCCCGCCACAGCGCCAGCGGGATGCCCAGCAGGTGGGTCGCGTGCGGGCGCCGGGGGTCCAGGTCTGACAGCACGGCAACAGGGTACCAGTGCGAAAACCAGGGGAAGGGCTGGTCCGCAGAAGAAGGCTGCGGCTTGGCGGCAGACGCTGTTCTGGTGACACCGGATGAGGCTGTGGCAGAGCCGCTGGTAGGCGCAAGCTGCCTAGCATCCAGCTGGTCTTGGGCGGGAGGTTCTGGGGGCGGTCGAAAAGAATGATCTGAGGAGAGATAAGCAGTTGCCATATTGCAAAATACGTTTTAACGTAGCACACAGGTAGGATTGCAAAAGAATTGTTGTCGCATACCTTGGATAACGGTGTCTGCCGTGGTAGAGGTTGCCCTTGGCTTAAGGAGGCGTTGCGCGTCGCGACGAAGTCGACGTAACGGGAGGTTCGGACACCTACGGACATGTCGCACGTGTGTCAAAATATATGCTGAGTAACGTATGAATAGAATATAGAAGCAGTTCCGGCCCTACCGCTGCAGCGGCGAAGCGAAGCAAGCATGGCTTGCAGGAATATAACGTGCAGAGATGCTGCTCCTCGCTCCCATGTTTAGTAAGACGTCTACTTTTATTGGAGATAATCACCGGCACAGTTGCAGCAAATGCCAATTAGCTTGCGTTATCATCGCATTGTACGACGTCCTCGCTCGACAATCCACCACTAAATCTGGGCAAGCTACTGCTGCCAACACCCCGCCGAACTTGAAAGCTGTGGCGACCAGGCGTGAGAGATATCACACAGTAAGTGGATCGTTGGAGGCGCTGGCATTGATACCTCAGCCCATGTATATAGTTGCATAGGCTAAGTCGAGGAACACTTGCTTTCCACGAACATTCGCAAGAGGTTTCACCTGAAGCGGCTCTATGGCCAACCGGCATTCAGTTTGCCATCACACCTCAGCCAGTCCAGGTGCTTTAAGGCTCAATGTCTAAATTACTCTTGGTTGCAGGATAGCCGTACCAACCTTGCTATTAAGCGGCCTTGAAGCAAAACGGCCATACGATAGGTTACCTACGACCCATGGGTCATTGCCCTCCGCACGTCACATCTCACATGCATACATGAGTCAACTAGCCTGCCAGTCGATCTGCACGACTGGCGGATTGCATGGCGTTGAGTCATGTAGACTGCATGCAAGCAAGCCACCGCCTTAGCTACCAGCAGCCAGCACTAGTAGCATGGCCTGCGTGGAGTGGTCCGTTGAAGGCCGGTATGTAGACTTCCACGTTGTAGCAAGGCTACAATATAAGTCCTAAAGGGAAACCCACTGGTCCTACGAATGTTTTTGATGCGGTTGATGACGTCGGTAAGGACGTCCATGCGCCGCCGACACGTGCCGTACTGGTGGCGCTTCAACCACGGTGCAGCGGCCCACAGGGTCGCCTCACAGATATAGCCCAATGGATGTTGACCAGGGGGCAAAGGGGGACCGAGGGTCTCGATACCACTTGTAGTGGTACCAAGCGCTGGTAAACTAGGAAAGAGGCGTTAAGGAGGTTTACGGGGAGTCTGTCGTAGTTGTAGAACTGTAGAGAAGGAGACCAGGGGGCCAATGGGGACCGCGGCTCTCAATACCACTTGTAGTGGTACCAAGCCCTGGTTGTTCCAGTCTAAGGGAAGAAAACTAGAAAAGAGGCGTTGGGAGGGTTTTCTTCCCTTAGACTGGAGACTAGAACAACCAGGGCGTACACACACGCGTAGTCAACAGCTGACAATGTCAGCCAAACAACAGGCCAACAACCCCAAAATGTGATCATAAGAAACGTATTGCACACTTCTGTTAGACAGTGTAGCTTGCATTATAATAAAACTTGTATATGCACCTGGGCGCGGAGAAAAGCACCCCAGTCCTTAAGGCAATGTATGGCGTAGTGTCCAGTCTAGGCCCGTTCCTGGCTTTGTAGTTATCTTTGCGTGTACATTCTGCTTAGAGATTCCGTAGATACTGTGATTGTCATAGGCATCCAAACGCCTTTGCTTGCTTGCAGGAGAACATTACGCCATGGGCGACGGATGTCCCAACCTGCGGTAACCTTCTGGAGCGATATTTTGTACGGACTTATTGAGCAAGACAAATTATACTATATATTGCTTCAATTAGGAGCGATGGAACCCTTGCCGTTTTACATCGTACGACCAGTCGACAGATATACAGACGACAATAGAAACGATTAGTGCACAAACGATCAGTTCCTTTAATCTTCGTGGGTTTGTGCAAGCTGCACTACATACCTTGGCAATGCATCCTTCCCACACAGTTTTGGGAGCCCAGCAGCTCAACTGCAACTTATAGCCCGGCTGCGTGCATTTACTGCCTTGCATATACTAATGTGCTAAAGCTAGTTTGTACGACTTCCTTATCAATCGGAACGATTGCGTACGCATACCTGTTCATACGCTAGCTAGCTGGGCAGTTAAGCTATCACGCGGTTAGGTTCCAGCCGTGACCGCCAATTGGTTGCAGCCTGAAGGACGCAATGGGTGCTGGTTGCTCCTCAGACAACCAGGTAGGCGTACGCCTTGAAGCGTACGTTGGAGCTTACGTCTTGTCATGCCTCGGTACAAGCCAAATCTTTTCCTCCCACTTTACACCTTTAAAGGATGTGGAACCAACAGTTGACGCAAGCGGGAAGTCTACGCTGAAAAAAGATGCCTCCACTAGAAACGGCAATGCAAGTCGTAGATTCCGCGAAGACCTGGCCGCGCAGTTCCAAGCAGGTGAGGGTAACTGGAAATGCAACTGGAACACCTAGCCTATAATATGATTGCCCATACATGCTACGAACCTTAGTCGAAGCTGGCTAGGCCGTTGCTTTACTACATGTACATAGCTAGGTACCAAACGCCAATCTTCCACATTTTGAGGGTGCCTATTCTACAAAATGCCCAATGGCGTCAGACCTGCACCGAATCGCTGTGCGGCTGCCCAGCTATGCACCTGTGCGCCTGTGCGCTCCAGTCCTCCCTCCCTCAGCCGGGGCTTCCTGCCCCCTGTCGACAATGCTCACTTTCAGCCCAGAAGCCCATCCCTCTCCGATCAGCTAGCACTCATGCGCCTCCCCTACCTTACCGCTCACCACGAGCCCCTTCAAAACGCCGCTGTACCTGCCCTTCTTGCTTCTGCTTCCACCTTTGCTGCCTGCAGAGTATCCGGAAGACGATGACCCGCTTGCCTTTGCCAAGGGCTCCAGAGAACGCACCCTTCTCAAAGTGAGCTGTCCCACCAGCATAGTGCAGCTAACCGAAGTTGTTGTGCTGCGCGGGCGCTGTGAATCGGACCACGCATCCGTGTGCAACTGATGCGTCTATGCATGGCAGGGGGGGCGGTCAATTTGCCGGCACTGTGTGTTCCACCTCTTGCCTGTTGCTGTGTATCGATTGCCCTCAGGTCTTCCATCTTCTCGATAAAGGCAATGTGGGCTACATCCAGATTCCTGAGTGGAACGACTATATTATCGATGTGGTAAGGAGGCGTTAGTGTCGTACAGTTGTTGTACGGACGGTTGCGCTTCTTGGGCATACGCATACACAAGCTCACATTCTATGAGAGCCTAGATACCTTCAATTGTTGTATGAGAGCCTAGGTTTCTTCGAATTAAAACCAAAAGCAGTAACAGCAGCAGCGCCAACTGAAGTAGTCCTAGAGCTGTTCACATCCCGTCTCCAAAATAGGCCCATGCATGTCTGCATACGCCTCACCTTTTACCAACAACATCTCTGGATGTTAACTGCATGAAGCAGAATGGCCTTTACACCCATCGTGCACAGGAAGCCAATTCAGACACCTCCCCCCACCCGACTTACAGGACCCGCGCTCTCTTGCACACCCTGCTCATGCTCCGCTTGAGATGCAGCATGCAAGAGTGATATTCCTTTCGCCTCAACCCATTATCAGCCTCACCCGGCGGCCCAATCCTTTTTCCCCATCCCTTCACACAGGGCCTGACCACGCATGCTCTTACGAAAGAATTGAAATGGATTCTGGTGGAGCAGAAGGCGAAGACGGGTGCGGCCCACCCTCGGGTCACCCCAGCCCAGTTCGTGACGGCAATGGCCAATATGGTCTCCTCCATGGATGATCCTGAGTTTGGGCGCTTCATCGAGCGCTCACTTACCCTGCACCGGTAAGGTTGTTATCAGTCTGGGGTCATCAGTGTCGGATGTACTGTAGTCAACAGGGCGTGGCTGGGTGGGCCGCTTTCTGGGCTTGCGGGTATCTCTGCTGCTATCTACACTTGCATGCACGTATGTCAAGGTGCTTGCTTGACTGCCTGCCTGCCCTCCACTCTGACACACCTGCACGGGGGTGGCAACCATGCATGGTGGGGGGGCTGCCAATCTGCTGCCGCGCGAATTACGCTGTTACACATGCATGGCTGCAGGAGCAAGAAGGCCCAGCCCAACGACCCCGCATTCGTGGAGGACCCTGTGAGCCCCATGGAGGCCCAGCAGTGAGCTGCTGCTGTGATCGGAGGGGAGTACAAAGCAGGATCACGGGAAGATAACAGGGAAGATCATGGATAACAAGCGAAGATCACGGATGATAAGGGAAGATTAAGAAACGGTAACAAGAAACCGCCCATCATGGAAAGGGATGGGAGCGCCACAAAGCAAAGCGCCACAGCATGGACACATGGATCGACCTTGCTTGCGTTGCACACCTCCACCTTGCGTTGTACACCAGCGACTGAATGCATGAGAGTATGACGCAGGCCGCCCTGAAGTAGTAGCACGATGCCTAACGTGTTCCCTGTTGCCTCAACGAGGGGCAGGGGCTAGGCGTTCTGTCCATCGCACAAGTGTAGTATGTCAGGGGCGTGTTGGCATAGTTGTTACATGCAGAGCCAGTTTTGCGGCGCCGCTGCCGCCGCTTTCTTTGCAGCAACTCCAGGAGCAGTGCTCACCTGGATAATGCTTATGGGCCAGCAGCCTAGGGGCCGAACTACAACCCCCGCAGTATATATGCTTTGGGTACCTGGGTCGTATTTTGCGCTTATGCATGATCGTGTTTTATGCTATTTGTGCTGGATTTCGCAGCTGTTGTGGATCCATGCTGGGTTTCGCAGCTGTTGTGACATCCATGTAGATATCGTAAGTTCGTTATGGAGTGAACCCTCGTTGGTTTGACCGTGCATTTTGAGTATGCATGATCCCGCCTTTCTGTACAAACGTTTAGTCGTTAGGGGGGTTACATAGATGGCCGCTGGAGGCATGTTGATTGTGTGTGTCCTGTCTTGCAGGTTTGTCCGCGTTTGTCCAATGCACTCTTGCTCGGCACAGCTCACCAGTCGTACTCCTTTCCAGTTGATTCTGGGGACGTGGTGTTGTCTTAGCTGGTGGGTAGCTTCACCTCTATCCGCAGCTTGTCGGCCTTTTGATGGGACGCTCGTGCTGTTAACTAACTAACCGTGGATGGCGCCTATTGTGCACGCATCTGCATGCTGCTGAATCCTCGAGGTATGCTCCATGTGCACAATTGCATGTGGTCGTACTTCCTCTGTGTGTGGCATATAACGTAGCGTAAGCACGCTCTCTTTGAGCTGTTTCTCTTACCGAAGTATATTGTACGACACCGCTGTAGCAAGTGGAGTCAAGTTGCCAACGGCCAAGTTGCCAACGGACCGGAGGACCAACCATATGATAACATCCTGTGCGACTATTCGGGTTGCGATTGTATACGTTTTTTGCATGGTTGGCTTTCCTTATTACCTCCGCCTTGCTCTCAGTGGACTAGAACGTTTGTAGGCTCTGCGCCTTGCCGAGACTTGGACGTTAAGGTGTTTAGATGGCAAAATGGGACGTAGGGCCATGCATGGGTTTCGGGGACAACTGCACATTCAACAGGGGTGCTGCCAACCGTGTCTCGCGAGGGGGGAGCGGCGGTTAGGTGACCTAATGTGTTAGGCGTTGTCTTTGTAAGTTCATAACACTAGTTACCGGTAAGCGAATCCACAACAATGAAATATGGACCTCGTGTAGTTGTGACTGTTCAAGAAAGGCACCATGCATCCTTCGTATCAAGTCGTAAAGCCGCGAGCCCTTCCCCGCTGCTGTCTGTACCCCTCATTCCCGCGTCTCCCACGTAAGAGATTTCCCTGAACGGAGGATGACAAGTAAATGAGCACCCGTCCAAGAAGACCACCCAACCAACGCTTTGCAAGCCCGCCGCGCATGTGTTACCGCTAGCTGCTCAGTATATAACAGCCTGATAAGTGCTAAACCGCACCGAACGGCCCACCTCCCCACCCATACCCTCAGAACCGCGGCCCTGCAGACCCCCCACCGCACTCCTCAGCCTAGCACCTGCACTCCCGCTGCTTCTGCCAGCCCCCTCAGCACCCGTGCTGCCGTACGACAAGCTCCTTGCAGACGCGGCTCTCCCGTCCCGTGGGTCGGCAGCGCCTGCCGCCCTTCGCGTTGATGTCGTACGGGCACTAGACGGCGCCTCTGAAGAGCGGCCGGGTCCCGCTCCAAATGCCCGTTGCTGCGCAGGTTGCTGTGGCTTTATGCTGCTGTTTGTTGAGCCGTACAAACCCTTTTCGGATAGCGAGCGAGGCAGCTGCTGCTGATGCTGCTGCAGAAGCTCTAGGCTGCGGGTCATAGAGCTCCGCCGCCGTGCGCTAGGGGCCTCCCCAGGGCAGCTGAAACTAGCCCGCAATGGTATCACGCCATGCAAGGCGCTGCCGCTACCAGTACTGCCGTATGAAGACGCTGTGACTCGAAGTGACCCACGGGTCACAGTACAGCCACCACCGCCTCTCGGGTATGGAGGGCTCGATGGAGCCTGGCGGGACGCTGATGAGCGTTTCCTGCTGGCTGCCACATCGTCAGCCACCATGCTTGCAGAGCCGCGGCCTCCCCGCACATCCTTGCGGCGCGCACCTGTGCTGCTGGTGAAGCTCCCATTGCTCTTTCCCGCATTCCTGCGAGCTGCTACACGCGCAGGGTAGCCGTCTCCTAGGCCGTCCGGTTCGCTCAGCCAGCCATCAGCTTCCCAGTCTTCGTCGCCATTGCCTTCGCTGCGCTTCTCTTCGCCCGATAGCCCACGGTAGCTCGCCGCGGCCATGTCATGCAGCGCGGCGGGGTCTACACCGGCTGCTGCGGCGTCGCTGGTGGCAAAGCTCCCAGCGGATCTTTGTTCACCCGCACCCATCAGCCCTGCAGCGAATTGTGCCGAGTATGCTGAAGCGGACGCTGACACAGATGCGACGCCTGCATGCAGCAGCGAGGCCGATGACGCGATACCGCGCAATGCTTGATCCACATGCGCGGTCAGCTGGGCTCGAAGATCAGGAGGTTGCACGGCACCGGAGGCAGCCGTGACCCAGGGGTCGTTTATTGTGGCTGCGTCGACAGCGAAGCCATGTTTGCCACCTCCAGCCAAAGATGAAGCCGTAGCAGAAGCAGCTGTCGAGGTCTCGTGCAGCGGCATGGGCCTACTTACGTCTGACGTCCCAGCTGCCTGCTGCCAGACCGCCCCTCCCGCCGCCGGCGCTGCGGCTCCTGCGGTCGCCATTGCTGCTGCACCGGCGCGCAAAAAGGGAGTGGAGAGGTCCGCAAGGGAGATGGTGGGGATGCTGGCGGGTTCGCGCGACGGCGCGGTGCCGCCTGTAGCACCCGGTGGGACAGGTCCGACGCCTGGCATGCAGCTGCGAGGGCCAGGGACCCGCATTACATGTTTATCCGCCTGAATCCGGTCGTGTTGTAGCTGATGGTGTTGCTGCATTGCGCCGAGACGCATCCCCGGCTGTGGTTGGGGTTGTTGCGGTTGGGGGCTTCCGACCGGCTGCATGGGCGCTGCAGCCGCATGGGGCTTCGGAGATTGCGGCTGAGCCATCAGTTGCCGGCTGGCACGCAGCGGGCTGCTGCTGCTGTTTGTGTGCGCATCACGCAGATTGGCAAGGGGTATTGCCATGTCGGCGTTGGTTGGGTCACTGGACGCGCCAGGTCGCAGCTGCTGCTGATGGCTGTTGCTGTTGTTATTACGGTGCGGCTGCTGCTGCTGGGGAGGTGGCTGATGCGGTCGGGGCTGCTGGGGAGGCTTGCCTGCTGCCCGGGCTGTGGTGCTGCTGGGGACTGACTGCTGGGGCAGCAGGGACTGGGAGAGGGAGTCCAAACTGCTGGCATACCTGCAAGGGAGTTGTGAAGCCATGCAGGCGTCAACATGGAGTACAGGGCTATGGACATCGCACCGCTTCCAGGCCCAACGCAGCTTACGCTGCACGCAGTATCCCCCGTACCACGCGCGAGCGTCTTGGCTCTTCTTGTCCGCCGGCTTCACGGCTCAGGTCATGTCGATAAGCCCCATGTCTCAATGCACGCACAGACCCAGTGCCAGTACGTCCTCCTGATCAACACACATCCCGTCTTCCTACCTCGCCGCAGATGCAAACGACTGCTGCTCCTCCGGCGCCAGGGCCTCTGCCAGCGCCTTCGTAAGTCCCGCCAACAGGTCCCCAGCCTCCTTCGCCAGGGTGCATGCCTCCTGCACCGGCTGCAGCCGCTGCTGCTGCTGCTGCTGCTGCGCGGAAGCCGCCGCAGCCTCATGACTCATGGGTCGGTGGCGGCCTGTGCTGTCGGTCGCCGTGGCATCAGCTGCCGCGCCGCAACGCTGCAAGGCTTCGAGTGTGGCGAGCAGGCGCGGGCAGAGGAGGGCCAAGCGCTCCAAAGGGGATGTCAGGGCTTGGTGGGCGAGACTGAGGCTCTGCACAAACACAGGCAGGTCAGGCAGGAAGGAGGGAGACGTCGTTGGGAGACGCCTTACGGACGGTGAGGGGAGAGGGACGGCGAGGCTGGCGATGGCTACAGCCAAAAGACTAATGAAGCGGGGGGCTTACCCGCACGGCGCCTGCCAGGGTTTGCAGTCGCGACGATTCAGCTTCATGCCAGCTGGTCATGCGAGTCTCCCAGGCGCCCCACGCAGCAGCCGCAGCAGCCTCTGCACACCTGAGGGGGGTTCCGCCATTGGGTTGCATGAAGAAGGCATCAAACACGTAAGCACAGGGAGATGCAACCACGGACCGCTCTGCCTTCAACTACCCATGTACGATGTGCACGCTGGTGGACATGCAAGCAAGTCTCGTGTCCCAGGATTGACCAGAAGCACCATGAGAACTAAGCTCAGCACTGAGACCAAGCAGACCCGAAAATGGAGCGCTGCAACGCTCATTCGGAACCCGAACAACAAACCTGCCTTTGCACAGCCGCATGCAACCTGGGAGGAAGTGCAGCCGCTCCCTCACTCCAGGCATCACTGCCCTGCCACGGCGTTATACCTCCGCAAGTCGTCGCCGCCTCCCCACTCACTGCTGCCGTGCCACCCAGCATACACTCGCTCCCGCCCTCCCTCCGCTCCCACCCAGCATCATCAACGCCCAACCATGCCGCCATGCCGCCCACACGCGCGCCCAGCTCCGCGCACATCTCTCGCAGCTGCCGTACGTCTTGGTCGCGCTGCTGCTGGTCCCAGCGCTGCGTGCTGCTGGTGACGTCACGGTCCGCGGAGCTGGCGGCGAGGGCGGCCTCCAGCGCCAGCAGCCGCTGTCGGAAGGGGGCAGGCAGGCAGGCAGGAGGGATTCGGGATTAGGCCCGGCAGTCCGGCAGGGGTCAATACGGGCCAATGTGTAGCAGAGGTTGGTGGGAAGAGTGTGAAGCAGCTTACAAGGTACAGCTGCCGGACGGGCGCACAGGAGGTGTATGCGACGGGACAGAGCTACTACTACACACGGAGGGGGCCGAGATGGTGAGTTGGGGTGGCGCAAACGACATTGCCCTCTGGCCGCATGCAGAGACACCTCCCATGGTCGCCTCAGGGCTGCCCCCCTGCACACACGGCGCATCGCCAAGCCCCCTGGCCCACCTCGCCCCGCAAAGCACCTTATCGCGCGCCTCCTCCACCCGCCTAGTAGCCTCGCACGACCGCTGTACGGCGCCCTCCAGGGTCTACAGGGGCGTTAAGCGGGAAAAAGCGGGGGAAAGCGGGAGGAGGGTGAATGCCGCCAACTGCGCACCGCACCGTAATGGCAGACCCACGGCAACAGGTACAGGCAGTAGCGAGAAGGGCCAGCCGTGGTTGCTGGGCTGCCAGGGACGTGTTAGCGGGTCGTGCGGCCAACGGAAGATAGACCCTGTCTACCTCACCATAAAACGGCGTTACCGCAAAGGCATCGCATGTTGAAGTGTCAGCACCATGGGCTGTGGACTTGTGGTGGTCATGTACCAGACAAACTACCGTACACGGTGTGCATTCTGGTGCACCTCCTTACAGCCAAGCCCACCCAAACTCACCGCACACCACATAGCAATGTTACGCATCCGGACCTACCTCCACACGCGCCATCAGCGCCCGCAGCTCACTCCTCCGCGCCAGTCCCAGCTGCGGCTGTGGCTGCCCCTCGTCGCTGCTGACTGCTTTCGTAAATGTGTCATCGGACCTGCAGCTGCCGCCACCGCTGGTGCTGGTAAGAGTCAGGCGACTGCCGCACGCATGGCATGTCGAAGAGCTTGCAGCGGAAGCAGCTGTTGCTGCTGGCACCGTTGCAGAGCCCGCTGCGGGTACTGCTGTTGTTATTGTTGCAGTTGCTGCAGCCGATACGGTGTTTGGGGACTGCCAGCTGCATGTATCGTTTCGTGACGGATCAGGAGATGCCTCGAAGACTGCGGACTGGAGCTGCAGTACCTGTGATCGCAGCGTCTGCAGCCCGGCCCCTAGCTGCTGGACCTGAGGAGGCGGGCAGCGTGACGGGAGGTAGACAGCAGCGGTGGCATGGGAAGGAGTTCCATGCTGAAGTATGGATTGATAGGGGAACAGGGATGCATATAAGGAGGATGGCATGTGTGCTCACGTGCGGGGTTGCTGTACGGTACTGTAACAAACCGTGAGATGCGCTAGGCGAGGCCAGATGGCCCTCGCTGCGCGGCGCGGCTATTATGCATGTAATCAACGAAAGTTTACCTGCAGGCCATGAAGCAAATCACTCTGCTGCTGGCAATCCTGGGCCGTACGGACGAGTTTGGCCAAGTCCAACACCTGCCCGGACATGGGCATAGCGCGCTCGTCGACAGTTAGAAACGTATAAAAGTTATCAAACTGTGCGTAGCAAGAATACCTTGAGTTCCAATGAGGCAGCATCGTTGCCATAGCTACGAGCGCGTAGGGCTTCAGCCTGCGTAAAGTGCCATGGGTTGGTCCTGAGGCGCTGCGGCATGGAAGGACGGCTTGACCAACCTGGGGGACTGCATATGAGCGATTTTGCTTCATTCCTGACACTGTAACCTAGAACAGTACTTGACCCAGTGCAAGTCCGCGAGCTGTCGCCATCCTTCCTAACTTGTCCGTTGACGCTAGCGCATTCGTATCTTAAGCTTACGAAAGATACTCTACATGACTCACGAAACAAACCAATTCTGCAACAACATGGCGAGTGAACCTGCTTCACCATATCCTGTGACATGCCGTACCACCGGTTCCACGCTGCGTTCCTGCCATGCCAACGATTGTGCTCTCTTTGTTGCTATGTGTGTTAAAAGCGATTAGGCTCCACAGTTTCGCCTTATTTGGTCCCTCTACACGCTTTCACTTGTGGAGAAAATAATTTTATAGTCTGAGGAAGGGAAATGAGGAATCCAAAGAAAGCTAAAGCCAAATCTAAAGGAAAGGCAAAGCCGAAGACAAAGAAGGTTGGGTCATTGCCAAAAGCAAAGCCGCCGCTTTCTGTCGAAGACGACGACCGCTTAAGGGTATTGTTTACTGTTGTAGGAGGAGGAGATGGAGTGTGACGATGATCCATCACCAGCGGCGGCTAAGGTACGCCTAATCGCTCGTCATCGCGGCGGCGCGACGTCGGCGGCACGACCCGCCTGCTTTGCAAAGTTGTCGCATGTGTATTGCCCGCTTGTGTATAAATCTCAACGGCGGCGCCAATGTGTCCATTCGTCTCCATCGCTGCCGTTAGGTATGGCGCCCAGGGATCGACCCCATGGACGCGGATGAGGAGTTGGAATACGACCCCACGGCGTACGACTGCCTGCACCGGTTCGAGGTCGACTGGCCGTGCCTGAGGTGAGCTAGCAGCCGGGCGGAACGGCGACATTCGCCAGGATCGGTATTATCCTACACTATTGCGTCTAGGGTTTTTGCCCCTAAACAGCGCTTTGCCCTGCTGGTTGTCCCAACCCACAAATCCCCACCCCCATCCCCTTCCCCGCTTCAACCCGGCCTCCTCCCGCATAGTTTCGACATTCTCCGCGACGACCTGGGCGGCCCCCGTAGCGCCTTCCCACACACCGTCTACCTCGTCTGTGGCACACAAGCCGCCACGGCGCGCCAAAACTACGTCGCCTTCCTCAAACTAGCACAGCTGGGGCAGGGGCGGCACGGCAAGAAGGCCGCCGCCTCCGACGACGAGGATTCAGATGACGACTCGGACGATTCCGACCTCTCTGACTCCGACTCTGATGCCCTAGACGAGGACAAGGCGGGCGCCGAGGGCGATAAAGAGCGCGCCGGCACAGGCGACGGCGACGATGGCGACAAAATGGAGGATGAGGACGGCGAGGGACGCCCCCGCCGCGGCCGCGCACGGGCCCGCGGCGGCGCCGGCGAGCCGCCCGCCACCTTCCACTACCGCCGCATCGCCATGCCCTGCGGCGTCAACCGCGTTCGCTCCATGCCGCAACAACCCGCGGTGATTGCGGTGTGGGGCGACAACGCGCAAGTCAAGCTCTTTGACGGCTCCAAGCTGGTTTCGGAGCTGGCGTCGGAGACGGAGCCCACCGCTGCCATCCTGGGTAAGAGCGGCCGGGGCAAGCCGCAGGAGCTGAAGCCGCTGGCGTCGCACAGCCACTCCAGCGAGGGCTACGCGCTGGACTGGTCGCGCGTGAAGGCGGGGCGGCTGGCGAGCGGCGACAACCGGCAACGGATCCATGTGTGGGAGCCGGCGGAGGGCGGCAAGTGGGCGGTCGGCGGGGCGCATACGGGTGGGTGATGGGGGATGTGGGGTGTGGGGGGGGCAGGGTGTGTGTTTGGGATGGGAAGGGAAACAAGCGGGGGCAATGCATGCCCTGACTGGGGCGGGGCGCGGCTACCCAACAGTTACGAACGCACATTCGGAGTAGCAAGGGAGCCCAGGGTCTTTTTACCTAATGAGGCATCTTTTGGTGGGGATGGCTGGTGAACCCGACGTCAGTCCCGCGACCCCGTGGTCGCTGCGTTGCAATTACAGCAAGGAAAACTCCATAAAAAGGTTATGAACACCACCACCACCCCTCCACTTCTACCCTTCACCCCCCCCCTTCATTCCCACAGGCCACGAGGGTGCCGTTGAGGACATTCAGTGGAGCCCCTCCGAGGAGACCGTCTTCGCCTCCTGCAGCACCGACCACTCCATCCGCATCTGGGACACACGCGAGCGCGGGCGGCCCATGCTCACCGCCGCCGGGGCGCACGCCACCGACGTAAACGTCATCTCCTGGAACCGCGGCGTGTCGTACATGCTGGCCTCGGGCGCGGATGACGGCTGCGTGCGCATCTGGGACCTTCGGAACTTTGCGGGATCATCTGGGTCAGGGTCATCTGGGGCATCTGGGGGTCCGACGCATGTGGCGCAGTTCTTGTACCACCGCAGCCATGTCACGAGCGTGGAGTGGTGCCCCTACGAGAGCAGCATGCTGGCCTCGTGCTCAGCGGACAACCAGCTGGCGGTGTGGGATCTGGCACTGGAGCGGGACCCCGAGGAGGAGGCGGCGCTGGCGCCCGAGGGCAATGCGGCGGCGCCGGAGGACTTGCCCGCGCAGCTGCTGTTCCTGCACGCGGGGCAGTCCGACCCCAAGGAGCTGCACTGGCATGCGCAGATTCCCGGCATGATTGTGTCGACCGCGGGAGATGGGTTCAACCTGTTCAAGGCGTCGAACATGTAGTGAGGTGTGGGGGAAGGGAATGGGGTGGGAGGGGGAGAGAGGTGTTTTGGGAATGTGGAAGGGCGGCCCTTGTGTGGGAACGCAAAAGGGGAGCATGCGGGACGGGTGAAGGAGGACTGGAGCGGGGTTGGATACGGGGTCAGGTCCTGACTCCTGAGTGACGGACATAGGGTTAGAGAGGATGGTGCAGGGATGTTGTGGAATAGTTGCATAGTTGCACACGACGCGGAGGTGGGCTTCCGCTTGCTGGCAGCATGTGGGAAGTCCGAGCTAGGGCTGCGGGAGGTTTCCTTACTACATGTAACCCGCCATCTGTAAGGATAATCGGTATGGCATGGGAACGCGGAGCAGTTGACACGGCAAACTTAGAAGGCCGCAAGGCCTTCTCCACTCACGCGGGGGCAGTGTCCTATTGGTGTCATATCTCATATGGACGGTACAGGGGCGAAAGAGAGGAGGCGCACAGCCGCGTTAGCGTATCTGTTGCGCGATGGCCCAAGGGCGGTATACGATGTGGCTGACGCTAGGAGCGTGGGGCTTCGAGAGCACCAGGCAAGCCTTCTCACTGTACACTACGTTGCTCTCCGCCGTGCGATCCAGGGTCCCTTCGGCACGGGCCTGGGAGGGGCGTTGAACTTTTGTTGTTTGGTTTGAATTGGTCTCCTAGCGGTGCCTTGGAGAGGAGGTCTCTACTACTGTAACAGCAAGTAGTACGGCCGTGCATGGCGATACTTCCGTGCTTGGATGTACATGTGTTTGCAACCTGCAACTCCCTGCACCTGGCTACCCTTCTACGGTGGCACGACTCACACCATTTGCGAAGACGCTAGCTGTACCAAGAGCACTTCAGAGCGTACCTAGTGTACCTACCCTCCCCTAGTCTAGGATAAACCCACACCAGACGACGCACAATGCGGGCTTCCTTCTAAGCACATCCCCTTTAGGCCTTGTCCAACTGAGCGTTCCCACTAATGCCGAAACAGCCATCTTGCACAACGGGGTACACCTACATGCCCTTTCCTCGAGTCCCAGCGCTGCTTTTACTACGTATGCAAGAACCCACGACAGGAACCCTCCCTCGCGGCGCAGGCGCCCGTCACCGCAGCCAATGCCACCTTCCAACCGCCAACCTCGCGGTCAACCACCCGACCTCCTTCGCTCCTTGTCGTCAACAATAAGCACCCGTCCACCGCCACGTTCCGGATTCCAAACTCCCACCCCTTGCTTCAACGGCCAAACCAGCCACCAACAGCGCTGCATCATGCATCAGGTCTGGCTTGGCGTAACTCCTAGGCCACTTGAAAGCATACCCCCACACACACCAAGAAACTGCACATCCATACCGCACCTTCACCGCATGGCAACATAGCGGCACGATCAAGGGACTTGCTGGCATGGGAACGCATGTACGTGGACGACAAGGCAAGGACGAATCGACAGCCACGCACTTTTAGACGCCACTCCAACCGACCCGCACGCCTGCAAACCACCTGTGAACGCTTGCCCAATGCTTCGGGGACCACCCAACATGAGAAGCTGCTTGCCGGGGAAGCGCCGCTGCACACCCCACCACACGACATCGGCACACAAAACATGAAATCATGCATCTTGAACTTCAGCCTGCTCTACATGCGATCCCGCGTGAAAGGCTACAGCTTCTGCACGCGCGCAATGGCCTCGCCAAGCGCTCCTCTTCTATCAACCGTTGGTTTCTCCTGCCAAAAACCTGCAGCAGCTAAACATCCTCCACTTGACCTGACTCAACAGATGACCTACTGGACTCGCACACGCCTCCCGTACATGCGAACTGAGATGTTCCACTTTACTCCTGCACACACTAATACACTGCAGCATGCACTGTACCTCATCGCCTTGTTGCTTCATTCGTCATGCAAGCGGTAAATGACCCGCCACGGCTTCTCTTGTCCTTCAAACCTGCTCCCAGCTCTAGGAAACAAACCTGCTCCAAACACACGCGTCATGCACACTGTACGCGCGTACAGACTGTAACTGTAACTGTAACAACCTGCTCCGCAACCTGCTGAAAACCATGTACCATGCTGCAGCCCATGCCCAGCCGTCTCCCAATTCCGACGGCGCTCCTAATCAGTGGCCATGCTGCTCATGCTGTACTCCGACACCCGCCGCCCGCCCTCCTCGCCCCCCAGCGCCCCAGCCCCCAAGTCCAGAGCCACCAGACCCCCAGGCAGACCTCCATGCATGCCGCCACCACCGCCGCCGCCGCTAGACGCAGCAGCAGCCGCGGCTGCCGCCATCATGGCAGCACGAATCATCGCCGCTGCGGGGTCCTCTCCTGCAGTCTCGGCACCAGCTGCGGCGCTGCTATCAGCAGCAGCTGCACTTGCTGCCAGTTGCTTAAGCAGCAACTGCTGCTGATGCTGCTGTAGAATGCTCAGATGGTGTTGTTGCTGCTGCGACTCTTGTGATGGCGGCTGTTGCTGCTGCGGCTGCTGCTGTGCCTGCTGCAGCAGCGCTAGCACCTCTGGCGACAAACCCGCAGCCGCTAGGGCCTGCTGTTGCTGCTGCTGCCGGAGAAGCTGTAGCTGTTGTTGCTGCTGCAGTTGCTGCTGCTGCAGCTGTTGTTGCTGCAGTTGCTGCTGCAAGTGTTGTTGTTGCTGCTGCTCCTGCTGCTGTTGCTGCTGCTGTCGTTGGTGAGTCTCAGCAAGCAGGGCGTGCCAGGAGCCCCCAGCTGCACCTGCCGCGGATCCCGTCGGGCTCAGCTGCGCACTGCTGCCACCCACGCTGTTGTTGCTTGACGCCCGCACCAGCTGCCTGGCTTGTGCCTGCGCTTGGGCTTGCTGCAGCGCCTGGGCCTGCGCCTGGGCTTCCACTTGGGCAAACATCTGCAGGGCGGCCTGCTGCTGCTGCTGCGCTAGGCTTGCGGCATGCCTGTGCTGCTGCTCCTGCGCTTGTTGTTGTTGCTGCTGCTGCTGTTGCTGCTGCTGCAGCTGTAGCAGTTGCAACTGTCGGGCGGCCGCTTCCGCCTGAGCTCGGGGGTCTACTGCCGCTGCCGCCGCCGCAGCATGGGCTGAAGCCAGCGAAGCAAGCGCGGCTGCGGCAGCGCTCACGCCACCGGCTCCTGCAGCCCCTGCTGCCGCCGGCGGCTCGTTTGCTGCGGGCGGAGGGTCGCTGTGGAACCGCTGAAGCAGCAGCTGCTGCTGCTGCTGTTGTTGCTGCTGTTGTTGGGCCTGCTGCACCTGCTGCTGCTGCTGTTGAAGCAACAGCTGGTGATGGTGGTGTTGCTGAACCTGTTGCTGCATTGCATGTGCGCCGGGGACGCCCGTCCGCCCGCTCTCACTGACTGTCCGCATCAGCAGCTGCTGTTGTTGCTGCTGTTGCGGTTGAACAGCGGCGCTAGGGGCCTGCATGTCAGCTTGGGCTGCGGCCTGCTGTGAAGTCTGAGCTGCTGCTGCTGCTGCTGCATGCGCCTGAGCCTGCTGTTGCTGCTGCAGTAGGACTGCGAGCTGCTGCAGCAGCTGGGGACTCGCTGGGGCGCCGCCACCCGCCTGCGCCTGAGCCTGGGCGGCCAGCAGCAGCGCCTGCAAGGGCAGTCCGTTCATGGCAGTGCATTCAAAGCAGGGGATAGGCCGACAGGGACCGTAGCAGTATTCAGCAAAAGGTCGTTTCGGCATGATGCGCTGGGTTACATTTCCTGTCGGATGTATGCCGGTGAAGCCCTGAAGTATGGGCAATCCGCTTACCGGGCACCTCAATTCCTAAAAAAGGTTGACTTTTAAATCTGTACACATGCAGCTTCAAGTAACTAGGCCCCACCTGAAGCTCTGATGCCATCGAGGCAGAAGAAGCCGGTGCTGCTGCGCCTGCATCCGCGGCCGACCCCACCACCTCCGGCGCTACTTGCACAGCCCCTGACACCCGCTGCTGCAGCTGTTGTTGCTGCTGCAATGCCTGCTGCTGCTGTAGCAGTAGCTGCTGTTGCAATTGTTGCTCCTGCTGCTTCTTCAGCAGTAGCAGCTGCTGCTGTTGTCGCTGCTGCTGCTGCTGCCAAAGTGCGAGGTTGCTAGCATCGCCACCCGGCCCCACATCCGCCGCTCCTTCGCCACCTTCAGCAGAGGGGCCACGGCCGCGGCCTAAGCTGCCATCAGCACCCACGCGGACCCCCAGTCCAATCGCCTGAGCCGCTGCCGCCGCCCGCGCGACGGCAGGGTGCACCGGCCGTGACTGCTGGCTGCCTACCCGCTGTTGTTGTTGCTGCTGCTGCTGTTGTTGCTGTGCAGCCGCCGCGGCCGCAGCCACAGTAGCAGCAGTAGCAGGGGCTGCCGCTGCTGCTGCTGCCGTTGCGCCCATGGCGGCGAGCTGTTGGTATTGCTGCAGCTGTTGCAGTTGCTGCAGCTGCTGTAGTTGTTGCTGCTGCTGCTGCTGTTGTTGTTGTTGCAGTGCACGTGCCGCGCTGTTGCCGTACAGGTCAAAGCCGCCCAAGGCCGCCGCGGTAGTGATAGCAGCAGCACCGCCGCCGCCACCACCACCACCGCGTCCGCCACCTCCGCCGGCCTGGGGTGCAGCGGAGCGCAGGGCCAGCAGCTCTGCGGGCAGCGGGGGTGCCGGCGGAGGAGACACCCCTGCATGCATGGCAACACAGGGGCACAGGGACATAGAGGCGAGATCCAGCCCATACGGAAAACCCTCTAGCCATGCACTGCATTCCCGCCACCCGCGCCTAGCCGCATGCGCGCATATTACGCGCAGGTTACACTTCCATTGCTGTCCTTTGCTCAACAAGCACCGGTACGTTACGTTGGTTACCCAGGACACCATTGCCTCCCGCTCACCAAAGGCCTGCAGGATGTCGTCCACTCCGCGACCAAAGTCCTCCGCGATGCCCACCAGCAGCGGGTCACGTCGCGGCTTGCCGCGGCCTCGCTCGTAGTACCTGCATCAGCAACATGCAGCCAAAAGAAGTGCTCAAGTAGCAGCAGAAGACGGCAAGACCTTGGAGGCATGCAACAGCCCTTCGCGCTCTCACGTCAGTTACCTCCCTCGACACCACACATAACACACGCGACACACCCGAACACCGAGAGCTCCGAACTCCCGACCCTCACCACCACTCCCCCGCGCACCTAAAGTCCTTGAGCATGCTCTGCACCGCGGGTCGCAGCTGCCGCGCCGCGTCCCTGCCGATGCGGCCCGCGAATATGGACTCCATGTGCCGCTCTAACACCACCAGCAGGTCGGACTCGCCCCAGGGAGGCGGCCTGCGGGCAGGGAAGGGGGTGCGAGTCAGAGAGAGGTACCGAAACGAGTGAAACCACATGCTAGAGAACGGAAAGAAGACAGGGAGGAAGCGGTGGGGAAGGGCCTTGGTGTTAAGCCATTCGGGGTAACGAGTGGACGATAAATTCATACCGGTAAGCACCCTTACCCACTTACCGCGCCAGCACGCCGGTCCAGAGCTCCTCATACTCCGAAACCATGATGTCCCGGATCACGGGCGCCAGCGCCACCGTCAACCGCCGGAGCTCAGCATGCAGCGCCGAAACCATCGGATCCAGCGTCTCCTCCACGTCATCATCAAATTTGCCAATCAGGTCCGTAACGCTCATGTTCAATGCAGCAGCCGCAGCGGCGCCGTCCCCACCGGATGCCCCTCGGCCTCTATCGGTGCCGCCGCCGCCGCTGCCAGGTCCGCTAGGAACTCGTTGCGGC